TGGGGGAAAAAGGAAAAGGGAAATGGAGGAATAAATAAATAACACACCAGGACTAATGGAAAAAACACACTGAGTGTTGCGCATGTTGTCTGTGGTTGTGAAGAAATGTGGAGGCTCTGCTGTGACCCCATAAACCGCATACACTGTAGGCCTTTTTTTCCCCTCTTGACAAATTTGTGGGCTCTGCATTACACTGTGGCCAAATCATGGACTTTGAGAGTTCAGCCAAACCAAATAACTGCTGCACATTGACTAGGGAGATGACCCATTTGACCCTGTCTGGAGTGTGCTTATGAACTGTGGTCCCAGACATGATGAACCGCTAAACTACCAAGCATCAAGTAGTTGGATGCTCTGTTACTGGGCTTTTAACTTTTCAAGCACTGCTATTCCTAAATAATTGGGTGAAAAAACAAAGTTCTTTGGTCAACACCTGGTTAACAATTCAGCCCAAGTTCAATAGAAGATAGCAAGGAAGAAAAAGTAAAGCCACAGACATCCTCATCTGTTTTGATTGAAATCAAATGTAAATATACAATAACATTTAGTTTATTGTTGGGGAAGGAATGTGTGCATGTCAGGAAAGACAAAGGACAGACACATACATTGCTTGACATGAGCTTGGAAAAAGCGTGGTTTTCTCACAAACCACTTGCCCCTCCCTAAGCCTACTTTTAGGCCTTTGGGAGACATAGAGTCCATTCCATGGGTCTCATTCCTCTTAGCTGTTTGGATGAGATTTTGGGTGAACGGGGTTGCGCTGTGTGATTGATGAGCCATGGCCAATTAGAAGCTTAACCGTGGAGGCCCACAAAGACACCCGCGATTTCAAACGTAAACACTGGTGGCCATAGGGCTTGAGAATACCTGTTGTTGATGGAAAGAGGGCAGGCATCCGGGAGGCAGCTGAGGATGAATACCGGTTCATCTGAGGAGGTTTTGGATGCTTCACCAACTCAGACCGAGTCACCGTATATTTTAAAATGGAACAAGTGTCTGTCCCAAAGGGAAATTCCATGGCTGATGTCAGTATTCCAGCATGGTGCCATCCCACTGGGGGTAGGGCAATGAATGGCTGGTACGTCTTACACTGTGTGGTTGACGAGCAACTGGGCGCCAGCCAGGAGCTTGTTAGACCAACTATGACAACAAAATGTTGCCCTTGAAAATCAATTATAAACACAAAAGCGTCTCTGCATCTGTTTCTGCTTGGAGTTATGTAGCACTGTCTGCCTTTTTCATTTTTTTTAGAAGGTCTGACTCCACAGTCATTCAGATGGCTATTCCCGTGGGATTAGTGATGGCACTAAAACCTCTGAGACAGTGCTTATAAATCCAAGCAGATGAACTGAGCTGATGACAGGTCTGTGAGACCTCTGTTATTGGGCTAGGCCATTTATTGAGGCTTGGAAGGAGAGTGTTTCATTATATGTGGTCAGTTCGTGCGCCAGTGTGAAACATGTAAAACCAGGGCCACATTTTTTTTTCCAGCAGGTCTATTTGTAAGGAGCAACTGGCCCTTTGTTAGTAATGTCTATTAATTTTCTTTTTTCCAATTAATCTGTCAATTTTCATGTTTGTGAGTATTGAAAGCATATCCTGTGTTCTTTACCCTTACAGTAGTGCAACCACCATAGCATTTTTAATGTTTCTGATTGGTGAGCTTCCCTCCCTCCAAGACATTTACAGGAAGCGGTGCCTGAGGAAAGCGGGGAGGATCATCAAGGACTCCAGTCACCCCAGCCATAAACTGTTCAGACTACTTCCATCAGGAAGGAGGTTCTGCAGCATCCGGTCCCGTACCAGCAGACTAAGAGAGACAGCTTCTTCCACCAGGCCATCAGACTGCTGAACACGTCATAGACACCTCAGCTTCACTACTGGAACTTTAACATTATGCACTCCATACTGTAGAGTAATGCCACTGTTTTGCACATGTCTCAACTCTGTATATTTTTATATATTTTATTTATTGTTTACTCTATTTAATTTGTAAAATATGTGTATACACACACACACACACACACACACATACCATCAAACTGTTTAACTCCTCTCTGGAGGGGAGAGGGAGGGGAAACAGGAGGACAAAGGAGGTGGGAACAACTAAGCTGTAGTGCCTCTTCACCTCACTGTACAATACCTTGTGCAATACTTTTTGTAAATAGTCAACAGTGCAATAGACTCAATACTTGAAATGTGCAATTCACTTGTATTTTTATTTTTTATTCCTATTTATTCTATTTATCCCCTTTGTATATTTTATTTATATTTGTCTCTGTATTTATATATGTGTATGTGTGTGTGTGTGTGTGTGTATATATATATATATATATAACATTGTCTCTGTATTTATATATGTGTGTGTATGTGTGTCTGTGTATATATACAATATTCTGTAACTCTGTAACTTCTGCGGTGCTGTGCTTTTTTGGAAATAGAATTTCCCAGAGGAACCCACCCGAGGGATTAATAAAGTTCTATCTTTATCTTATCTTATCTTATTTACATGTACAGGCATCTGGTCACCAGTCTATCACTTTAAAAAAAAAATCTGTACACACACACACACACACACACACACACACACACACACACACACACACACGTAGAAAAATATTTAGTATACACATCCAGAAATGCATATACTATTATATATTGTACATATATTTATTAGTTCAGATGTAGCCATTCTTGTATTTTGCTTGTTTACATTATTGTATTTTGCACAACTCTGTTGCTTGTGAAGCTCGCACACAAGAATTTCACTCACATGTGCTGTACCAATGTACCTGCACATGTGATGTGACAATAAAAGTGATTTGATTTGATTTTATTTGATTGCTGATGATCAGACACCAGCCAAACAAAGTTAATAGATGACTCCAAATTGTTTTCCTTCCATGTACGTGGAATTGTACTCTATCCCTGGCTTAAAAGGTCAGAGCCTAAAAGCTGTAATTGCAGCTGATTCAATCAGGAATTATAGTCTGCATAGCATTGCAGGACTAAACCCCGTTGCAGTGGGTGTAGTAATTTCTTTGAAGCCTAATGTTCTCTGGCTGACATCAGCCTGCTCTCTGACAAACTATGTCACTCTGACAATGCAAGCCTTGACTCCTTTTGTTTTCTTGTTTCTCCCTGGAGAAGATGTTTACAGCCACTTCATTCTTTTTTTTCAAAAAGCAGTGAAAGCATCATGACAAAAGCCCTCATACTGAGACCACCATCAGGGCTAGAATAACAGTAGAAATCCTTTGAAAGTCCCCAGTAGGTTGAAAAAACCCTTAGAAACCTATTGTTTCAGAACTATTCTACTCCACTTTGCCCATCTGTTCTTAAGATCCTGTCTTTTGGTCTGCCTTATGGACAGAAGGAGTTAAAAGCATGATTAGCTTTGTCTTTACCCACTGGAGTGCACCGTGCAATTATCTAAACAAGTGAAGCTTCCTGCCTTTCTGCCTTTAAGAGAACAACATCCAAAGTTTTATAAAACCTTATCAGTCTTGTTTTTCAGTATCTTAACACAAAGCCTGTATTTACCTTTAAGAAATGCCAAATTTAGCTGCCAGACTAATGATTAGGCAGAAGGCTATGCGAGCTGGCTCCTTGGCAGTTACTCCCCTGTATCTGTGAGTTTGTACTCACTGATAGATCTTTAATATTCTCAGGTGCAATGAAAAATATTATTCAGTTCCAGTCCAGAAGAGCAGTTTGTCTTGCTTGCCTATTTGTTAATATTAGTCCCTTATATTCTATTAATAACGCTATTCACTGGTGGCATCTGTGACATTGCTGCTCCAAAGATTGAATTTGGATGCAGTGCGCTTTGCCATAAACTCGGTAGCTCTATACCTAAAGCATCTGTGTTCTTATAAAGCGGGCATGGAAAACTAGAGTTGTATAACTGTACCTAGATGTAAATTATAGGCCATAATATCAAGCAATAACCTCGTCTTCACCCCTCACAACGAAACCAAATGTAAAGCTGTAGGATGGGTCATTGTGGAGGGAAATATTGAAGAACAGAACATAATGGTTATATCCTGTAATAAAGGTGCTCTCATGCTGGTACGTGAATGGCCTTGTGTATTATTGGCATTTATCACCCATTGCATCTTGATGGTGCATGAAGATTACACTGTATAATCTTAGGAGGGAAAGAGGAGTTGGCCGTACAGTGAAATGATTGGGATGAATCAGGAGAATTGGATGCTTAGCTTGGATTGCAGTACGATTTCAGTCCTTCAACAATATAACAACTGCAAAGAATACTCGCATCAAGGCCATTCATAACAGAAAACATGCTTGTCAGATGAGTCGATGTACTCCAAATAATGTCCTGGTCTTGTATAGTTCACAACTGCTTATAGTGCAAAACTGTTAAGCAACAATGAATGTTTTTTCTTTACATTGAATATGAGCTCCACTGACCAATCAGTGTCCTCCTCTGTGATTAAAACTGTTTTATTAAAAAGTATTGACTAAAGCCAATCTGAAAAATAAGGGCAGTGAAGAGTGCATCTGGCAATTTTTAAAGTTTTTTAAAGCTTTTTTGTTCAGTTTTCTGTCATGATGATTCCACTTAGATCTGGGTACTTGGGAGGCCTATCCATGAGTGATAGTATTCCCCAGTGTGTTTCCAGATATGGTTTTACTGCATTGGCAGTGAGTTTGGAATCAATATCATGCTGACAAAAAGAAGTAATTGCCAATCAGACACACATATATATAATATATTTATATATATATATTATATATATAATATATATATATATTATATATATATATAATTATATATATATATATATATATATATATATATATATATATATACAAATAATTTTTTTTTTAAAAACTTCATTTACAAGTAATAGATGTTAAATATTATTTGTTATAATAACTGCACCAGTTTTAGGTGAGATTGTTGGTGTCTTAATACTAACCTCTTACGTGCCTGCGGTTCGTCCAATCTCACTTCCCTGTTTAACATCTCGTCCCCCGGAAGTACTTGTTTTTATCTAAGGAGGTCAAAATGGCGACTCGCTGCATGTGAAGGGGTCGTAACGGGAACCGGTTTTATGATTCGAGATCATGTATAAAACACCATGTAGCAGGCTGTCAGGTAACATGCAATAAAATTTGTATCTGGTTCAAAGGGACGTTATTTTCAGCGCAATTTTAATCTGCGGCGGCTTAAATCAGCTCTTGATGCTAAGGCATAAACTAGCTCACTAGCTTAGCATTTAGCTAACTAGATGCAACTGAGCTGTAGGCAATAGGCTAGCATTGACCTTGTTTATAGAGGGTATGCGCCCCAAGCAGAAGTCGGTCGCATCTACAAAGGGGAAAAAAAAGGCTATATAGCGACTGTGGCTATTATTGCACCTGCGGTGTCAAAATACTGAACGTTTACCCTTAAGAAGAGTCAATATTGGACATAACTTCGATGCTTCGCCAGTCGGTCTAAGGACACTGTCAACAGCAATTTAGGATAACGTTTTATCCACAGTAGGATTTGCTGTGTTCGAGCTATCATCATTAATGAAAATAACAGTGAAAGTGTTACCACTAATGTGAAAGTAAGTTTGGTGGGTCGGATTAATTTTTAGGAAGGCTAGTAGCATAACGAAATATATATCTCTGAGTTGTGGCATTGCATCAGTGGTATGAAAACCACGTCAAAGGCTGCTGATTGTGTTTTATTTTATCTGTCTGTCCATCCATTCATTTTATTTGGTCATTTCCCCCCCTGTCCATAGAGTAAATGTGCTTTTTCCTCATGGTTTCTAGTATTTTTCACAGTATTTGTGGCAGTAGGGTGTGAGCACAAAAACATGAACACCCATGCTTTTTAAAACAAATAGTAAAAAAATAAGTAGCAATTAAGCAGTTTCCCTGCTAATTTCCAAATCCTTTTTCTTGAACTGCATTTAGCAACAAGGTTGTTTTCTGCTCTGCAGCCTTGGTTAAACATATAAACCAAGTCTCTGCCTGCTGCAAATGCAATTTAGTGGTCTTAGAGCTTGCAGCAAACCTTCTGATCTTTACAGCCACCAGACAAGCGAATATGACCACACGTAGCTGAATGACAAAGATCACCACCGCACTGAGCAGGTTACCTTGTCAGAGAAAGACACATGAGGTGGGATGAGCTAGCTGGTTAAATTCTCAAATAAGAGCAATGGGATTGTGCAGTAGTAAATTGACTGTGGTGTTCTCTTGGATGCTGAAATGAGCAGAAAAATGTATCTGGGCAACAAATGTAGGAAAAATTTTGATTAAAGCATGTTTTAGTTTTTAATGACCAAGAAAATCTAACCAAAATGTGACTTTTAATAATTTTATGTCTTGCGTTTCTTGTAGGTTTTGTTGGTGTAAGTGTGAAACAGAAACTAGCTCGAAATGTTCCTCGATGCAACCAGATTGCTCGCAGCCTTATTCAGTTGCACAGAAGAGATCCTTCAAACTGGCTGACGTATCAACATTTTAACTTCCTCAAACGTCAGGTATCATCTTGTCGTCTTCGAACGTATTGTATCTTGTAAAATCAGTTTATTAAACATTTTTGCTCATCGTTAATGCTGATTTATCCCAGTATTCTGAGGCTAGCAGAGTTTCTTCTTTTGCCTCTTTTTTGCCATTAGAAAATATTTACCCAATAAGTCTCCTTGCTTTTGTTTTTTTTCCCCCAGTATGTTTCAAAGAACACGAGTGAGCTTCACCAGCGAGCCATCCCCAAACAAGCACCTGTCCTGACTATTGTGGATGAGAGAGATGACAGTGTTGAAAGACAAGTGGAGCGAGTACCAACCATCAATCCTGCAGCTACAGATGCTGGTCCACAGGCAGAGGATGCAACCCATAAGCCTCAAGATAAACTCTCCATCTTGAAGCACACTGCAGAAAATGCAACAGCGCAGAATGTTTCCGTTTCCCATATGACTGGAACTCCAGATGAGCCTCCACATGTCCAGGTTGAGACTGAAGAAGAAAAACAGGCACGTCTAGATAGACAGTGGAAGCAGTTGAAGGTTGATAGGGCTGACTTACCGGATATCTATGCAAGACTTTCAAAAATTAAACTAACAGGTAGAGTATTCAACACTTACTTATATATTTTATTATTACAATATTAGTTGACTCAATATTCAGGCTGTTCTAAATACTTTAAAAAGCTTTTCCTACTGTTGGATTCATATTAGGGAGGAGGGACGTTTTTATGTTGTCATCTCAGGCACACAACTCTGGTTTTGAGCACAGCAAACTCACCTTGAGACCTTCTGTTTGATAGGGGCAGCCAATCAGGAGAAAGCTGAACTAAAATGGCTTGACTGGCTCCACCAAGGCCCAGTATAAGAAGATAAAGGGATTATTTACTGTGAATTGTGCAAAGCTAGAATTGATGATGAACTAAAGGAAATAACATGCAAACACTTACCCGACATGCAAACAGAATCACTGACATTGTGTAAAAATTGAGTAAGTAAAGAACACCAGTCAAATAAATAGAAAAATGTACAAGATTACTGTGGATGGGTTAAATGTGCACATAGACATGACTATGTTGTTGTGCTTAGTAATATAATAAACAGGGATTCATGCCAGTCATTCGGTGAGTCAGTGGGACTGATCGTCTTCATGAGATTCACTATAATTCATTTCCCTCTGTATCGGAATGGGTTATAACAATAAATCCATCACTTTACATATTTAAGTGGAGCTTTGGAGCAATTGGAATTCAGTAGTTTTAATACAAGAACTTAAAGTCATTCTGTTAATTTTTAGATAAAGTGCATGAAAAGGGGCCCAAGCTGAAATCTAATGTTTTGCAATTTGTCTTGTCCTACTATGTGCTTTCCTTTTGTTTACACTGAATCAAACTTCTAGGGATGTTAAATGTTTTACATATTATTTTGGAGAGATAATACTTCAAGAAACTATAATGGATTATGTTGTTTCTTTTCTTTTTATCACCTTCGTTATTTCAGCTCTGGTGGTTACAACTGCAGCTGCCGGCTTTGCAATGGCTCCGGTGCCCTTTGATCCAGTCATGTTTTTCGTGTCATCTTTGGGAACAGGCCTTGCCTCTTGTGCTGCCAATTCAATTAACCAGGTTTGTTTTCTTCTTTCAAACATATATATACACACCTTTGTACATATTAGCATGTGGTTTTTACACAAACTAAGAAATTCTAGTCATCATATATGCATTAAAATCATTTGAGCTTAAACAAACATTGTATCAGCTTTCATAGTTTGGCAGTGAATTTTAACCAACAACTCGTCAATAAATTGTCATTGAGTATGTAGTTTAACAAGCAGCAGGTACTCCTGTGTTACTCTCAGCTAAATTTCCTGCAAATACAGAAGTCCCAGAAAGCAAGAAATATTAAACACATGGGCTGTTTTAACTGCTTCAAGAATCGCAGTAAACATTGCAGATGTTTGTGGTCTTGAATCACTTTGATTTTTAGTACCAATTTCCTTTTGGAACAAAAGTGACCCGTCTCCGAACTAGCCTGATATTCGTTCGCCTTGAAGTTGTGTAATATAGTTTTTTTGTAGACATGTTATGACAACGTGCCTGTTGACCGAGACCCACATCGACCGTTTTCTTTTTAAGTTGTTTTAAGAGATGTTCCAAAAAACGCTAAACGGACCAGCACATCCCCTTATTTACCCAGCCTACATTCCTCTTTAGCTACGCATCTCAAAAATGCATTGAGCTAACTGTAATGCTATTATTAGTTCCACGCTGAAAGCTTTTTTGAAGGTTTAAACAAAGGGAAGCTAGTGTACTTAGACACTTAGAATGCCTAAAGTAGGGCCTGCTCTTGCTCTCTAATGTTGATGTTGTACATCGGAATTCTCTCTGACTTAATAATATTCACATAATGGGTGACCTCTTCTTCAGCCCTGGGTTGAACTGTGGTTAGTGGTGTTCTTGGCCTATAATTTGACAAAGACCTTGATTACCCTGCAGGTTCATGGCCTTGAAACAGACTCCCCTACCCCCATCCTGGCTTCCTAGCAGTGTGATTCAGTCATATGTTCACTGTTTTGCAACAGTGAAATGCCAGGAAGTCAACGAGTTTGTAATAACACTGATCATCTTGAACGTAAACTTGCATTGTGCCATTTAGGTGCAGATGTCTATGAATATGAATGTGCAGATGTTTACACGGTTTTGTTGCTGGGACCAGGGCCTGAATAGAGTCAATCAGTCCATTGCTAGGGTTAAAATCATATTGTCTGTGAAACAGAACTGACTCCTCGATACACCTCACACTAAGCAGGTGTGTAAATATCCTTGAGGTATTTGAAAAATGTCTCCCTCTTTCCACGCCAAATAGTTGAGCCCAGGCCTGCGCTCCTAGACATTCATAGCGTTGAGTGATGCAAGAGGCGGCAGCCACTGTTCATGCCACGCGAGTCCCTGTATTTGTTTGCCCTCCTTGACATCCATCCTGTCAATCTTCATTTACTCCACTAACTCGGCCTGAGGTTAGGCTACAACTTGGCTTCATATTTCACTGAAACTGTGGTATTTCCCTTTAGTGCCGCGATCTACTTGCAAATTGAATAATGTGTGTTAAGACCTGAAAATACATAGAATTAAGGTTTCTATTGTAAAAAAAAAAAAAGGAAAAGCAAAGAATAAAAATCACAATTTTGAGGAGCAGCCTAGTATTATCATTTTTAAACCCTAGACCCGAGTAAATGCAGTTGGATCCACATCACGCCCCCAAAATCAGTCATTTACTTTTAATGAATGAGTCACTTTTTTCTCATTCTACGTTGACACCACAGGTGTATCTCTGGTTGGCTTAATGTTCAGGTAGGACCTCAAGGCACTCAGTCTTTTGCATTCAGAACTCCCTGAATTCTTTGTGGCACAGAATCAACAAGGTGCTGGAAACTTTTCCCAGAGATTTGGACGCCTGTTGACACGATAGCATCACACAGCTGCTGCAGATTTGTCAGCTGGGATGATTTGAGCTTTGTGACATGACATATCATACTGCTGGAAACTGCCATCAGAAGATAAAGGGAAGGACATGGTCACCAGCAATAGTCTGGCAGGCGATGGCATTTACACAATCCTCATTTGTGTGCCAAGAAAATATAAATATGCACTATACACTGCCAGTATGAACCACTGAATATTGTAGCAGAAAGGCTCATCAGATCAGGTGAAGTTTTTCCTTACTTCTGCTGAGCTTGTGGCAATTGTAGCTTCAGTTTTCTTTTTCTTATTGACTTACTGATTATTGACGTAGCACCCTTTGCGATATTCTCCTCCTGTAGCCTCTCCTCTTCTCCTTGCTGCTCTTATGCATATATTGCTTGTGACAGGGGTTATTTGAGTTACTGTTACTGTATCTGTGCACCAACAACTATACCACTTTCAAAGTCCCTCATCTCCTTCGTTCTGATGCTTAGCTTGAACTAAAGGCATTGGGTTGCTACCGTGGAATTGGCTGATTACATATTCACGTTAACAAGCAGATGAACAGGCCACTAATGAAGCTACCAGTTAGCGTACATTAAACATTCAGGCCTATTCATTATTCACACCATGAAAATGCTTTTCAAGTTCAGAGTTCATTCTGTTTTCAATCTCCTTTTGAGCTCCTTTGACTTTAAAGAACCTCTGACTTACTATTCATGTATATTCAAAGGTGGCTCAGGGACTTTGTCTGGTTAACTTCACACAAGAACCTGATGATCAAAAACAGTGGCATCACTGTAGTTGATCCCTCTGTCTTTGTGTGCCACTGCTTGAGTGAGGTCGTTGATTTCCCTGCATAATGTTACAGTCCTTAGTCCCATTACTACAGGTTTGCAGAGATGTAGAGGGTGTAGAGATGCATTCAAGGATGACAGGGAAAATTGTCAAGCACTATGTTCAGTGAGTGGAGCAAGAATACCCCTTGTAAGCTTGATGGCTGCACAGGTTCAGGTGGCTGCAGTCTTTTCTTCCTAGGATTCCCTACTGAGTGGCTTCTGACTGATAGATGAGAGGTATGTGGGGTGTATATCTCTGCATGGAAGGATAAAACGTTCTCAGAAGTGTCATGCATTCCAGGTAATTGCTTTTATTGTGGCTTTCAGCTGTTTCAGCATGACCTTGAATGTGCATTCCTTGTATTTACTTCCGCAACACATAGCAGGCAATCCCTTTTTGTCCTTTATTTTGAATGGAAAACACTGCTTCTTGACTGCCTTATGATAAACTGATCTCCCAATAGAAAGCTGAATTCCTACCCATCAATCTAATTGGCCAGATAGTCAATTTCTATTAGTCTATTTTTCCTGCAGCATACACTTACAAAAACACAAATAATTGTTGATTTAAAATGATAACTCCTTAATTGTGAATTTGAAAGAGGCTGATATAAATGTCGTAACACATCTCCCAGTTCATTTTGCCTTATTAATGTGGGGAAAAGTGTCACATGGAAGAACGTATAGTATTTTGGGAATGCTTCACATGGTTTTTGAAGATAAATACACAATGTCGTGTAAGGAGATCCCGGTGGCAATATTACTCCTCTCTGTTTTCACAAATGGCCTTGAGTATTTAAGCCTGAAATCCATCAGTGTTTACTTTGAGCCCAAGACATCCCTTTTTGTGGCTAGATGCTGGGTATGTGAGCCGGATCCCCCACACAAGTTGGATTCATTCTCCTTCTTTATCCCTTGTTCTCTGTGGGCACATTTTGCATGTCATCATAGTCTTAACTGGAAGGAGTTTGAGATGAGCTTATTTTTTCAGACAAATTAACCACCTGTCTTGAAGGGAAGTTGACTTTGAAGTAGGTTGAAAGTCATGCAAGCGGAAACCTTAAAAGGTGATTTAAAAGAAGAAACACTGTCAGAAAAGCAAACCTGTTTAGTGTGGTTTGTGTTCGTTTCCCTCGGCTTGGCTGGTATAAAAAGTATGTGGCCTTCTACAGACAATCCAACAGTTGTTGTTTGTTTTGCTTTGTTTGGAGGAGAATGTAATTATACGCACAGAAGCAGCTGGGATGCTGTTTGTTATATAATTGCCAGCTGCACTGTCACTGCCGTCATACTTTACACCTCTTTCTAAGATGTAACCTCACCTGGCTGCAGTTGAGCTCAACACCTTGGTTATGCATTTGTTATTGATAATCCAGAAAATCAAGGAATGGAGAAGACAAACATCCCATCTTCTGATCTCCTGACTTTAAAAAAATTCTTTTCATCTTAAAAATACTGGGACTTCACTAATAGTGTGGTTAGCTGTGATCAAAGAACTTTTTTAATATACAAAAAGTAAATCAAACAAAAGCTTGACAGACAAATCAAAGCAGATAGAAACTCTTGTGAAGATCACTTCCGATGGATTCTGCCGCTCCGCCCTAATCCCTTAATGTTCAGCATCTGAAGAGGCACAGCAGTATGACCACAGAGTTGTTGAACCACCTTGAGGGAAGGAGGAAAGTGCCCCGAGGGAGAAAGAAATGCTTTGGCAGAGAGAGCTTGAGTTGAGCTATCAAAAGCAAGGCTGGGTTTTGTCCCACTTGGAAGTGCCCGTAGGGCAAACTGCAATGTTGTGGTTTCTTTTTAAGATGTTACTCTATTTAGGAAACTGACGGAAGGGTGTAAGCGCTGGAAGTCACGTAACAATGGTGTTTTGTCGTCTAGAGTTTCCTGCCACAGTCAAAAGGCTTAATGCTGTCATGTCTGTCATACAGTGTGGTCCGAGAGCAAAGGGATGTAATTATTTGACCTTCCAGTTAAAGTAGCTTAGATTTCCAATGAAGTCTGAAAATGAGGAATGCTTCACACAGACTATACTTTGTAAGGAATGACTACCTCAGAGGTTTGCAGCTTCCTCTTGAGCAGAGTGTCTGTGGTGTTTACACTGTAGCTCAGATTAGTTAAAATATGCTTATTGCCGGGGTCACGTAACTCCTGGACCCCACACCGAGAGTAGCAACTGCAGGTGTTCCAGCTGTCATCGGCTTCTAGTCTGGCCACTACTTCAGCTAATTGGATAATTGGGTCAGATGAGAGTTTGAGGCTAGAGCCTAAAATACCGAGGGGTGGTCTGAAGTCCCCGGCAGTGTAAATAATATAACC